TCAATTTGACGGTCGCCTGAATCCGCGACTCAATTAGCCGGCGGAGTCCACGCGCAGCATCGCTGGAGATCTCTCATCAGTCGCCAGGCGCCAGCCATTGATGGCTGCCGATGCCCCCCCCCGCCTGCCCCCCCCCCCGCCTGCCCCCCCCCGCCTGCCCCCCCCCATCGGCGGGGGCGCCGGCAGAGGACGCGACGTTATGGAGTGTGTGGAGTGTGTGTGTTGTGTGTGTGTGGGGGTGTGTGTGGATGTGTGGGTGTGTGTGTGGTGTGTGTGGTGTGTTTGTGTGTGTGTGTGGGTGGTGTGTGTGGGTGGAGTGGGTGGTGTGTGTAGTGTGTGGGTGGTGTGTGGTGTGTGTAGTGTGTGTGTGTGGTTTGTGTGTGTGTGGGTGGGGTGTGTGGGTGTGTGGTGTGGGTGGAGTGGGTGTGTGGTGTGGGCAGTGTGTGGGTGTGTGTGTGTGGGTGGTGTGGGTAGGGAGTGTGTGTGTGGTGTGTGTAGTGTGTGGGTAGAGTGGATGGTGTGTGTGTGTGTGTGGAGTGTGTGGTGTGTGGGTGGAGTGGGTGGCGTGTGTGGTGTGTGGGTGGAGTGGGTGGAGTGTGTGGTATGTGGGTGGAGTGGGTGGTGTGTGTGTGGAGTGGGTGGTGTGTGTGTGAAGTGGGTGGTGTGTGTGGGTGGAGTGGGTGGTGCGTGTGGAGTGTGTGGTGTGTGTGGAGTGTGTGGTGTGTGTGTGGAGTGGGTGGTGTGTGTGGGTGGAATGGGTGGTGTGTGTGTGGTTTGGGCAGTGTGTGTGTGGGTGGAGTGGGTGGTGTGTGTGGGTGGAGTGGGTGGTGTGTGTGTGTGGGTGGTGTGTGGGTGGTGTGAGTGGTGTGTGGGTGGTGTGTGGGTAGTGTGAGTGGTGTGTGTGTGTGGTGTGAGCAGTGTGTGGGTGGAGTGTGTGGAGTGGGACCAGCCGTGCAGTGACTAAAGCGCTGCGCCATGAACCCCAACCACCCGAGTTTGATTCCCGCTCACCACCAACACCAGTGACGATTATTGGAAACATTCATGGGCCTGCCCTAGGTCAACTCAGCCTCAAATGCACCACTGGAGCGGCGTGTAAACATCGTCACCGGGGAGACAAAGGCGACTGGGCGTGGTCCTAGCCAAACCACCGCCTCGTATACCGTGGCGGCCTTCATGCATGCTGCTCGCTAACAGCACTTGCCCCTACAGTCTGCAACAGATATACAAGTTGGGGGGTGGTGGTCTTTGTGCAGTACGCATGGGTATTTACCCTCCAAGCTGCGTGTTATGCGGGGCGCAGTGCGTGTGTGTGTCTGCGTGTGTGTGTGTCTGTGTGTGTATGTGTCTGCGTGCGTGTGTGTGTCTGCGTGCGTGTGTGTCTGTGTGTGTGTGTGTCTGCGTGTGTGTCTGCGTGTGTGTGTCTGCGTGCGTGTGTGTCTGTGTGTGTGTGTGTCTGCGTGTGTGTGTGTCTGTGTGTGTATGTGTCTGCGTGCGTGTGTGTGTCTGCGTGCGTGTGTGTCTGTGTGTGTGTGTGTCTGCGTGTGTGTGTGTCTGTGTGTGTGTCTGCGTGTGTGCATTGTTCATTGCGCGTGGCATTGCGTGGCGCATGGACCAATCAGTTGAATCGGAGCAACACAACCATCACGGGCATGTCGGGGACGTCCCGCTTTGCCTGGCATCTCGAGAATGTCCCCAGAATCCAGCCGCATCCCCCCCTCCTCTCGTCCCCCACACGCCCCCCCCACCTCTCCTCCCCCTTCTCCTCCCACCCCTCTCCTCCCCCCTCTCCTCCCCCCCTCTCCTCCCCCACACGCCCCCCCACCTCTCCTCCCCCCTCTCCTCCCACCCCTCTCCTCCCCCCTCTCCTCTCCCCTCTCCCCCCCCCTTCCTCCCCCACTCGCCCCCCCCCTCTCCTCCCACCCCTCTCCCCCCCTCTCCTCCCCACACGCCCCCCCCTCTCCTCCCTCCTCTCCTCTCCCCTCTCCTCCCCCTCTCCTCCCCCACACGCCCCCCCCCCTCTCTTCCTCTCCTCCCCCTCTCCTCCCCCACACGCCCCCCCCCTCTCCTCCCTCCTCTCCTCTCCCCTCTCCTCCCCCCTCTCCTCCCTCCTCTCCTCTCCCCTCTCCTCCCCTCTCCTCTCCCCATCTCCTCCTTCTCTCCTCCACACTCGCCCCCTTCTCTCTCTCCTCCCGCGTGGAATTCTTTCCGCGCCGCTGAACGAGCCGCGCCCGGACACAAATCAAACTCATCGCCATCATCATCATCATTATTATTGATGAGTGATGCTGCTGCTGCTGTTGGTAGTCGTTAACAACAACAACGACGATGACGAACTCCAACACACGTTCGTCAATTGCACTGCGGCCTTGAAAGGAAATCGATTTCTACGTGAAATACATATAATAAGCGACGTTTCGGGCAATGGCCCTCATTCTTTAAGAAGGACCATTTCCCACAACATCACCAGCGGTGGCGAGGAGGTGTTTATCTCGCTCGCCCGGCACGCAGCATGAGCGTGGGGTTCGATCCCAGACCCTGGCGATGATTCCTGCTGCTGCTGCCGTGCATTTGTGTTCTCTCTCTCTCTCTCCCCCTCCCCGTGGTGACCCAGCGTGGATCGTTCTCCAGATTCATCCTCCGGGTTTGTTCCACCCCCCCCCCTTCCTCCTCCTCCTCGTCCTCCACTATGATGATGTCGGCGATGGTGATGATGATGCTATCAGCCACTGCGATGATGAGCCATCGTCAAGTACGACGCGGTCGCCTCTGAACAGCAACAACAGCAAGGGCTCATAGCCGAGTGGGCACTACCTGGTGCAACGAGTTTTGGCTTAGCCTAGTTTTTTTTAGTATATATATAAATACTTTTTTTTACGGTTTAAGGTCGCAGTGTTATTGAGCAAAGTGTTGAGTTCTTGTGTCAACGCGGATTATAATCATCGCCCTTCCCCCCCCAGCCCCTCCACCACCCCCTCCTCCTCCCCGTCTCCTACGCCCCGCAGTCTCGCGCTAAGCTCCGAGCCCCCCACTCCACCAACAGCGGGGATCAGGGCTGCCGTGAGCGAGCACCAGCGCCACGCAAGACGCGTTGACAGGTCGATTGGAACCGTGGGGAGGGGGTGGTGGGCAAACACCCCCCCTACCCCTCCCCCTTGCCTCCCCCCCCACCCCCCACCGTGTTTTACCACTGCCACTACTCAACCACTTTCCTTCACAACGTGGGAACTCGTCTGCGGTGTACGGCTCGCTCTTCTCCCGGCAGGCTGTGGCTTGGCACGGCCCCGCTGGTGAGTTTCTACAGCGACGATGACGACTCAGCGTGGCGTGCCACCCCCCCCCCTCCCCCCCTCGGTGGCATTCTGCAGCCGGGCAAACCGATTTACCGATGAATTACGACAGAGAAAGGAAAGAGAGGCGAGAACCGCTACGCGACCACGGCCGCAGTATTGATCGGGGCGTCCGCCAGGCTCGAACCGCCTGAGCAAACGTTCAGGTCCGCGTTTGCCCCAATAACGCGACAGACAACCAAAAATTCCAACCCCCCGCCAACTGGCATCACCACCCTCCTCCTCCTCCCTCCACGGGTCAAATCTAACCACCCTCTCACCCACTCACCCGCTCACTCGCTCACCCACTGACCCACTCACCCGCTCACTTTCTCACTCGCCCACCCACTCACCCGCTCACTCACTCACTCACTCACTCACCCACCGACCCACTCACCCACTCACCCACTCACCCACTCACCCGCCCACTCGCTCACCCACCGGCCCACTCACCCACTTACCCGCCCACCCACTCATCCGCTCACTCGCTCACCCACCGACCCACTTACCCACCCACTCACTCACTCACTCACCCACCGACCCACTCACCCACCCACCCACTCACCCGCTCACTCGCTCACCCACCGACCCATTCACCCACGTATCCGCCCAACCACTCACCCGCTCACCCCTCACCCACTCACCCACTCACTCACTCACCTACCCACCGACCCACTCACCCACTCACCCGCCCACCCGCTCACCCGCCCACCCGCCCACCCGCTCCCACGCTCACCCGCCCGCCCACCCGCCCGCGATGACATCCAACTCACATAATCCAGGCTGGGAATTGGACACAGATGTCTGATCAGACACACGGGGGTCGTACATCGTCCAGACGGCGAAGCGAAACAAAAAAATGCCCAACCCAGCCCCTGACACAAGGCGCTCTGTTCTCCTGCCGCCGCCGCTGCTGCTGCTGTTTGCTGCCGCTCGCTGTGATTCGTTTGCCCTGAGTTGCTCGCGACAGCGGGAATGCGTGGGTAGCACGGGGCGCGAGTGCGGAACGTGAGCTGGGTGTGCGTCGGTGAGAGGGAGAGAGAGGAAGAGAGAGAGAGAGGACAGCTTGGTAGCTTGAGTGTCACTCTTACAGCTGCGACTATGCCGTCTCTCCAGTTGCCACCTGGTCAAACTAAATGTCGCCGTCGTCGTCGTTGCTGCTGCGGCTGCGGCTGCAGTGCATCGGCGAGTCTCGAGAATCCCCTTCAAGAGGGTCCTGCCCGAAGCACCTTTAAGAGAAAGCGTCTCTGCTAGATGTGAGGTTACCCATCCATTAAACGTGGAACGCTGAGCCAGCGTTGAGCGAACGTTGTTCCGATGTTCATGGGTTACCCCCGGTGCTACCAGTGGGAAGCGGTGGCGCAGCGGTTTGCGTGCTACGCCACCAACCCGGCGACCCGAGTTCGATTCCCGCCCGCCAGTTGACATCGGTGACGATTATCTGAACCAGCCCTGGACCCTCCCCAAGGTCGACTCAGCCTCAGATGAGCGCGCGGTGCGGCGCGCCGGCCTTCGCAGGTGCTGCTCGCTAACGGCACTTGCCCCCACGGTCTGCGAATGCTACGCGGGGGATCTTTGCCTTTGTCGCCGCGTCAACGGCGAGTCGGCGGTAGAGTTTGGGGGGAGCGGGGGGGGAGGCGGGGGGGGGAGGGCGGGGGGGGGGTCCGTTACCGGCGCCAGTCGGTGTAGTAGAGGTGGTCGGCGTAGGCGGCGATGCCGAACGGGTACTGGAGGCCCTCGAGGAAGCGGTGTCGTGGGCCCTGGCCCCGCAGCATGCACTCGAGACGACGGGTGCCTGGGTCCGTGGGGGGGGGGGGGGGGGGGGGCACGGAGTGAGGGTCACGGGGGGGGTCACACGGAGCGGGGGGGGCACGGAGTGAGAATCACGGGGGGGGTCACACGGAGCGGGGGGGGGGGCACGGAGTGAGGGTCACGGGGGGGGTCACACGGAGCGGGGGGGGGGGGCACGGAGTGAGGGTCACGGGGGGGGTCACACGGAGCGGGGGGGGGGCACGGAGTGAGGGTCACGGGGGGGGTCACACGGAGCGGGGGGGGGCACGGAGTGAGGGTCACGGGGGGGTCACACGGAGCGGCGGGGGGGGGCACGGAGCAGGAGACATGGTAGGGGGGCATGGGGGGATACGCTGGGAGACGTGGGGGGGGGGGGATATGGGGGACACGCGGAGACACACAGACAGGGCGTGGTACGAGGAGGACACGCAGGGATCGCACAAGACCCGGTGGCAGAGGGGCAGTGATGGGGGACACAGAGACAGAATGGGAGACAGGAGAACACCACTACCACCACCGCCACCAATCAACACCACCACCATCACGGCCACCACTGCCTCCAACACCACCCCGCACTGCACCACCGGTGCCATCATCACCACTGCTGCCATCTCCACCAAAAGGCAAAGATCCCCCTATCGCCTTTGACAGACTGTTAGAGAAAATGCTGTTCACGAGCACCGATGAAGGCTGGAATGGCACGCGAGGGGGTGGGTGGCCAGCACCACGCCCGGCCGCCTTTGTCTCCCCAGTGGTAATGTTTCTACACACCACACCAGGTACTCATTTGAGGCTGAGTCGACTTAGGGGAGGCCCACGACTGGTTCAGATAACCGTCACCGGTGTTGGCCGTGAGCGGCAATCGAACTCGGGCCGGAGCGCAGCTCGCTAACCGCTGCACCACCGCCGCCCGCTATCTCAACCACCACCACCACTTTCACCACCACCACCACCACCACTTTCCCCATCAACATCTTCATCATCATCATCGCCACGGCCACACAGTCCCCAGCGCACCGGCATCGGCCCAGCACAGCTGGTGGGAGTAGGGGTCAAAGGTGAGTCCGTTGGGCAGTCCCAGGTCGTCTCCGACGAGCACCCGGCGCCCCGTGCCGTCCATGTTGGCCGTCTCGATCCTGGGGGACTCGCGATTCCAGTCGGTCCAGTACAGCAGCCTGGTGGCGAGCGGCGAGGGCATGAGGGGCGGGGAGGGGCGAGGGCACGGGGAGCGGGGGAGAGGGGGGGTACGGGTGGGGCCGGTGGGGGGGGGGCAGCAGCGGAGAGAACGGCAAAACAACGTTGACAAACGAGGCCGGTCCCCCGCACACATTCGTGGGCGACGCTGGCCCCCTTGTCCACCGCACGGACCCGGTGCCACCCTGAGCACCCTCGCATCTCACGACGGCAGACCACCACCACCACCACCACGGAGACGAGCGGTCGCCCCCGTGTCGTTAGTTTGTCGTCCTCCCGCCCGGAACGCTCGCGATGAGCACGGTTGGCTACGTACGTATAGCCTTAACAGACTGTAGGGGCAAGTGCTGTTAGCGAGCACCTATGAATGCCTAAGTTCAACACACACACGCACGCGTGCCAATTGCCGGAGAGTTCCAGAGGTCAAATCCCCGGGCATTTGAACCCACCCTTGGCTAGTCACTGCAACCTCAGCGGCAGCGGCAGCAGCATCATCGTCACAAAAAGACAAAGATTGCCCGGATAGCCTTTCACAGACTGTAGGGGCAAGGGCTGTTAGCGAGCACCTATGAAGGCCGGAACGGTACACGAGGGGATGGGTGGCCAGCACCACGCCCGACCGCCTTCGTCTCCCCAGTGGCGATGTTTACACACCGCACCAAGTACTCATTTAAGGCTGAGTCGACCTAGTTGAGGCCCAGGACCGGTTCAGATAATTGTCACCGGCGTTGACCGTGAGCGGGAATCGAACTCGGGTCGCCGTGTTCGGAGCGCAGTGCGCTGACCGCTACACCACCGCTCACCCTACCGTCAGACACACAGAGACACACACAGACACACACAGACACACACAGACACAAACACACACACACAGACGCGCCATAGGCGTAGTTAACGATAATTGCTTTGCGTGTTTATAGGGACAACCGCTGCGCCGCCACTCCCTCACCCGGCGGGGAGACCCGGAGGAAGCGTAATTAGAGGCCGCGAGAGAGACGCAGAATTCCCCCGCCCGGTAAGGGGGGGGGCGTGGGGGGGGGGGGAGAGGGGGGGGGAATTGGGGGGATGTTATCGCGGCATTAGGGGTGGGGGGCCGCGTGGCACTTTGATGAGTGCGCCGTGGGAGCGCGCACCGGACGAGGCTCTGCTGGGCCGGACGTTGCAATTTAGATTCTCCCGATTGTTGCTGCCCGCGCTTTATTTTTAAACCTCGCTGAGTTCGCGGAGTGGCCGTGTTTGTCGGTTCACGTCCGGCACAAGCCGACCGCCCTCCGTGCGTCCTGCCGTCGCCGCTGTGACCTCGCCCGACTCGTGGTTGCTTATATTTCTATAAAAGCGTAAACGATCTCACCCGACCTGTGTTGCGAAGAACCCTCCACCACCCGACGCGCCGGCTTGAACGGTCACGTGGCCGACTGACTCGCCGGGAGGCGATGAGGCACGATCCTCGCGACCACCATCAAAGTGAGAGGCCATCGGACAAAATGACGCTTAGATCCGGGGACAGTCACGATGGGACAATTACGGGTATTCTCCGTAGTATACGAGACGTCCGGAAAGTAAGATGGACGCCACCTCCATACCCTCCACCCCCCGCCCTCTACGCTTGTATCTGAAATGTACGTGTGTGTGTGTGTGTCCGTGGTTCATAGGTGCTCGCTAACAGCACTTGTCCCTACAGTCTGTTAAGTCTATACAGGGGATCTTTATCTTTGTCTTTGTCCGTGGAACTTCTTTCGCACAGTACATCGCACGTCTGAAGTTGTGCGGGAAGGACGGCAAACTCAACGCGGACAGCAGCTCTCGGGAAGCGAGTTGTCGTCCTCGAGTGAGCTTCGCTCGATCCGCTGCTGGATGAGAGTCTCCCACACGCCGTGCGGGCTGGTGGAGGTTCACTCGGGCGGAGGGCAGCAAAACACGCTTCGCATTTTCCTTTCAAACAGTGCACCGTTGACGGCGGCGAACGCGGTGAGAAGCCGGGGGGAGGCGACCGGGAGACACCGCGAAACGCCGGGACGCGACCGGGAGATGCTGCGAGTCACCGGGCCACTCCGGCGGACGCTGGCAAAACGTGGGGAGTCGCACCGCGAACGCGGTGAGAAGCCGGGGGGAGGCGACCGGGAGACACCGCGAAACGCCGGGACGCGACCGGGAGATGCTGCGAGTCACCGGGCCACTCCGGCGGACGCTGGCAAAACGTGGGGAGTCGCACCGCGGGGGGGGGGGGGGGGCGCCTACCCTCGGCTGGGGTCGGCTACGATGGCCCGGGGGTTGACGAGCCCCGTGTCGAAGAGCACGCGGCGGTGGGAGCCGTCGAGGCGCGCCACCTCGATGCGGTCGGAGCCCGAGTCCGTCCAGAAGACGTTGCGGCCCAGGTGGTCGATGGCGAGGCCCTCGGGGCTCCGCAGATCTGCTCGCGGCACACGTGGGGGGGGGGGGGGGGGGGGGGAGAGGGGGGATATACCGCGGATTGTGTATTTTTAAGTCGAATATTAAAGTATATTTCAGCCTAATTTTATTTTATTTTTTATTTTTATTTTATGAATTTTTTTTATCTTATGAAATTTTTATTTTTCTTTTATGGTGTTTTGTTTTTATTATTTTATTATTTCCATTCTACGTGACTTCACCGAAAGAAACAAGAAGATGAATCCCTGCAGTCACGAAAGCTTTAAATCGAAATATATATAAGCCGCGTGTGTATGTATGTTGAACTTTTTTCGCACCGTGCGTAGCCAACTATGATAACCAGAGGCGTGCGATCTGGCACAGGGGATTTCGTGATAGCCGAGCGATCCGGCACAGGCTGGAGAATCTGACGATAGCCGCGTGATCCTGCGTAGGTGAGTAGGCGAGCGACTTAATGAATGAGTGGGTGTGTGAATGAGTAAGTGAGTGATTGAGTTAGTGTGTGGGCGAGTAGTTGAGTATTGAGTGATCGAGTGAGTGCGTGCGGTGAGTGAGTGGTTGCGACATGCAGCGCAGTGAGTGGTGTGAACGAGTGAGGCGGGTGCGTTGCCGTGCCCTGCGGTGTGCCTCGGTTCGACCACGGCGTGCGGTGCGCGTGATGAAGCAGTCGCCAGCGTCTTGGTAGACCAGAGGCCTCAATTAACGTTCATTTCACGGGGGCCGGAGAGGAATTTCCGAGCTATTAGGCGAGCCGGATGTGAACGCGCATTTCAAAAGCGAGCACCTGCGGCTGGCCAAGGCAGCCAGTTAAGCGAGTCTCCCAGATCCTCCAGCCCTAGCGAGGGCTGCGATTGCTGTTTGCGCTCGGAGGGGGTTGAAGGGCGGGGAGAGGGTGGAGAACGGCCTCCCAGGGCCAAATGAGACTTTGAAATCCCATCGGCCGGTCGCCGCGCACGAACGAACACGTCCGAGCCACGGCAGGAGGAAAGGTGGAGGTAAAGGCGTAGCCCTGGAAACAGCCTGCAAGTACCAGCGCTGGTTGAAGTGCCCCCCCCCCCGCCAGCCCACTCGAGAGCTGGGAGAGCCCCCCCCCTTCTCTCCAAGCTCCGCGCGCCGCCGTGCCGGTTAGCGGCGGCGCTCGTTGTGGGGGAACGCGACCGATACCGGCGCCGTCACCGGCGCTGTCACCGCCGCCGGCGCTCACCGGTGCGGACGATGACCTCGGGCTCCCCGCCGTGCAGGCTGGCGCGGCTGATGGCGCGGGTGGCGATGTCCGTCCAGTAGACCTTGTTCTCCACGCAGTCGTGCGCGACGCCCACCACGATCGTGCCCTGGACGCGGCGGCGGCAGCGGCGGCGGCGGCAGATTTAGAGGCAGCCGCGTCTCGTGATTGTGCACTCACTCATCTCGCCCGCCCGCCCGCTCGCTCGCTCGCTCTGCCATTGCCGTGCTCACTCACACTCTCGCTCATGCATTCCATCGAGTCGATGCCTTTAACATTGGTAGCGTTGACGTCCGCAGCAGCTGTGGGCTTGCGCGTGTGTGTGTGCGTGTGTGCGTGCGTGTGTGTGCATGTGTGTGCGTGTGTGAGTGTGTGTGCGTGGGGAGCGGTAGTGTAGCGGTTAGCGCGCTGCACTACGAACTTGGCGACCCGGGGTTCGATTCCCGCTCACGGCTAACACCAGTGACGATTATCTGAACCGGTCCTGGGCCTCCCCTAGGTCGACTCAGCCTCAAATGAGTACCTGGTGCGGTGTGTAAACATCGCCGCTAGGGAGACAAAGGCGGTTGGGCGTGGTGCTGGCCACCCACCCCCTCGTGTACCGTTCCGGCCTTCATAGGTGCTCGCTAACAGCACTTGCCCCTACAGTCTGTTAAGGCTATACGGGGGATCTTTGTTGTGTGTGTGTGTGTGTGTGCGTGCGTGTGTGTGTGCATGTGTGTGTGCGTGTGGCGGCCGGGCGTGGTGCTGGCCACCCACCCCCTCGTGCGCCGTGTCGGCCTTCATAGGTGCTCACTAACAGCACTTGCCCCGACAGTCTGCTAAGGCTACACGGGGGATCTTTGCCTTTGTTTGCACAGAGGTACGCGCGCTGCGCTACGAACCAGGCCACGACCCCAAGTTCGATTCCTGTTCACAGCCACCAACACCAGTGACGATTATATGAACCGGTCCTGGGGCTCCCCTAGGTCCACTCAGCCTTAAATGAGTACCTGGCGCATCGCCACTCGGGAGACAAAGGCGGTCGGGCGTGCGTGCTGCCCACCCCATGCCCCCGTGTGCCGTGCGGGGCCTTCCTAGGTGCTGCTGCTGCTGCTGCTCCCTAACAGCACTTGCCCCCCGTGAAATGTCATCCGCTGAAGGCTACGCGTGTGTGCGTGTGTGCGCGTGTGCGCGTGTGTCGGAGCGATAGTGTAGCGGTTAGCGCGCTGTGCTATGAACCCGGCGACACGGGTTCGATTCCCGCTCACGGCCAACACCAGTGACGATAATCTGAACCTGTCCCGGGCCTCCCCTAGGTCGACTCAGCCTTAAATGAGTACCTGGTGCGGTGTGTAAACATTGCCACTAGGGAGACAAAGGCGGTCGGGCGTGGTGCTGGCCACCCACCCCCTCGTGTACCGTTCCGGCCTTCATAGGTGCTCGCTAACAGCACTTGCCCCTACAGTCTGTTAAGGCTATACGGGGGATCTTTGTTTTGTGTGCGCGTGCGTGGCGCTCCACACGTACGTGCAGCACGAGCACGGCGCGCGCCTGCTCCTTGCGCAGCGCCGTGCCGTCGAGCGGCACGCTGCTCAGCAGCTGCCCCTGCGCGAAGATCAGCGACGTGCCGGGAGGGGGCGGCACGACGTCCGGGCGGTGCGTCGGGCGCACCACGGGGGGGGCGGCAGTCGGGAGACCTGAGGTCAGGGGTCGGGGGGGGCAGCGGAGCGGGAAGCAGGAGAGGCAGGGAGCGAGCGGTTCAGGATGGATGCATCACCGGTTCGGATCGTTCCGCTCGCCCGCCCACACTCTCGGTCCACCACATACTCAAGCACGTACTCACCGCCTCCACTCACTCACTCAGCCACCCACTCACCCACTCACCCAACATCTCCACTCACTCACTCGCTCGCCCATTTTCCCACCCATGCATTCACTCACCTACCCACCCTACCACTCATCCACCCACCCTACCACTCACCCATCCACCCTACCACTAACCCACCAACCTTACCACTCACCCACCCACCCACCCTACCACTCACCCAGCCACCCTATCACTCACCCACACACCCTACCACTCACCCACACACCCTACCACTCACCCACCCACCCACTCTATCACTCACTCAACCTACCACTCACCCAGCCACCCTATCACTCACCCGCACACCCTACCACTCACCCACACACCCTACCACTCACCCACCCACCCTACCACTCACCCACCCACCCTACCGCTCACCCACCCACCCTACCACTCACCCACCCACCCTACCACTCACCCACACACCCTACCACTCACCCACCCACCCACCATACCACTCACCCACCCATTCCGCCTCCCCCCCTGCACTACCCCCAACCCCCCCCCCCCCCACCCCCGGCGTCCCCAGTCCACTCACAGGGCGGCTCGGTGCCGGGCGGCGTGCGCGTGCCCGCCTGCTCCTGGCCCTCGGCGTCCACGCACCAGCAGTAGCCCGTGCCGTGGTGGCACTGCACGGGCAGGAAGGCGCCGTCGCCGGCGCACTGCGGCACGTAGTGGCCCACGGGGCGGGGCCCGCGGGGGAGCAGAGCGGCGCCCCCCGCGGAGCCCACGAGGCTGTCGCGCCACCGCTCACAAGTCGACTTCCCGCCGCCTCCGCCTGTCGACAAAAGGATCAAATGCTCGCTCGCTCCTCATTATTATTATTATTTTCTCTCTCTCGCCCCACTCCCGATGGTCACTGGCAGAGAAAACTCTAGAGAGAGTTCAACTCTGGACGCTGTTGTTAGGCCTACTCTTCCACGCTGCCCGGATGTCTTGGAGAAGGTGCGAATCACGTGGGGATAAAGGCGCAGCCCCGCAACAGCTCACTCAATCCAGTGGGTACTGACGGAGCGGCCTCCGCTAAGAGACATTTTTCGGAGAGCACATCTCTATCTCGAGGGTGTTTTTGGCCTACTCTTCCAGGCTGGCCAGACGTCCTGCGCGGAGCGGGGAGCACCTCACACTCTACCACCACCGGCCACACGTGACCCTGCCCGATGGACCACAATCAACGGTTGGACCCATTCACTGCGTTTGGTGGGCAGAGGCGCCGGGGAGATTCAACGGAGCCGGGCGACCTCTTGGATTGCACGTCCGGGCGTGCTGACCCATTGCTACGCCGGCATTGAAAAAAAAATATATACACAATAAAAAAAATCATCCAATTGCATCCCAGTTGTGACTCCACGTCCCCCTCCCCACGTGCCGTAATGGAGTGCGGAGCGCGGACACACCGCAGAACTACTACCGAAGGCGGAGGAGGCGGCAGCGGTGGCTCACCGTGCTGCGCGGGGCTGCACTGGAAGCCGTCGCCCTCGTAGCCCGGGTTGCAGCGGCACGAGAAGGAGCCGGGGGAGTTGTAGCAGACGCCGTGGGAGTCGCAGCGGCTCGCGGCACACTCGTCCACGTCTGGGGGGCACGCGCACACACGGTCGGACGATGGCGGGGGGGGGGGTGGTTGTTGGGGGGCGAGTGGGTGTGTTGGGGAGTGAGCTGGTTGAGGGGTGAGTGGTTTGGGGGGTGAGTGGGTTGGGAGGTGAAGGAGTGGGTGATTGGGCAAGTAAGATGGGTGAGTGGGTAAGTTAGGGATTGAGGGAGCGTGCGTGAGTGCGTGAGTGAGTGAGTGAGTGGGTGAGTGGGTGAGTGAGTGGGTGAGTGAGTGAGTGAGTGGGTGAGTGGGTGAGTGAGTGAGTGAGTGCGTGAGTGCGTGAGTGCGTGAGTGAGTGAGTGAGTGGGTGAGTGAGTGAGTGAGTGAGTGAGTGGGTGAGTGGGTGAGTGAGTGGGTGAGTGGGTGAGTGGGTGAGTGAGTGAGTGCGTGAGTGCGTGAGTGCGTGAGTGAGTGATTGAGTGGGTGAGTGGGTGAGTGAGTGGGTGAGTGGGTGAGTGGGTGAGTGAGTGAGTGAGTGGGTGAGTGGGTGAGTGAAATGGGCAAACGAGAGGGTCAAGTGGGGAGCAAGAGGTTGAGTGGGCAGGTGAGAAGGTGAAAGGTTAGCAGCCAAGCAGGTGAACAGGTCAGCAATAGAGTACAGATGCGAGTGTCTGTGTACGTGTGTGGTGCATCAGCCGGTCATCTCAGTCAGCCAACCCATGGCACCTGTGTCTGTCCCGTGACCTTCTGCCAGCGAGCCTTCGACACTTCACGTGGCCTCAAAGTGCACCTGGCCTGGCAGAAGCGCCGTGGTGACGAATGGCGGCTGTTTGTCGTTATCGTTGTTGTCGTACGTGTACGTACGAGCGCGTGTGCGGTGCATGCATGTGCGTACGAACGTGCGTGTGTGTGTTTCTTGCGTGCGTGTGCTTGCGTGCACGTGTGCTCACGCGCGTGCTCATGTGCGTGCTCATGCGTGTGTTCGCATGCGTGCGCGTGTGTTCACATGTGTGCGCGTGTCCACGTGTGCACGCGCACGTACCGGTGCACACCCGTCCGTTGCCCGTGTATCCTGCGAGGCACTCGCAGCGGAAGGCTGCGGGCCCCGTGGCGACGCAGCGCGAGCGGTCCGCGTAGTCGCAGTTGTGGCTCCCGTCATCGCACGGGTTCACCGCCCGGTGGCTTGCTGGCTCACGGGGGTCACGGGGGTCACGAATGGCGGGGGGGGGGGGGGCAGAGACACGTGGGGCGTTGGGAATAAACACAAAAGCTTTTGTTTTGTTAGTGGTGATTTTGTTTTAAAATTACACGGTGGCTCAAGCGGTACAGCGAACGGAGTTGTTGACTCAGTCCATCGTCCTTCCAGGGAGGGGTCGAGAAAATATATACCACTTTGTGGGGAGGTGGAGGGGGGGGGGGAGCGCAGGAATAAAAAAAACCACCACGCCGGGAGATGGAATCGAGCCGGCGTGGTGCGGATTGGCAAGTCCAGTGCACCGTCCGACGCACCGCTTTGGCGGCATGAACGCAGCTATTATTGAAATTTTTTAAAATCAAATATATATTTATTTATTCTCGGTCTCAAATGAGCTCTCTCTGGTTTTGAAATAACGCGGTGCGCTGTAATCACTTAAAAACAGATTAACTATAAATGGCCAAAAAATTGTGCCGCGGGTGAATGAGCGAGCGAGGGATTTCAATGAGTGAGCGGAGGGAAAATGGGAAAATGAACGAGCGAGCAGAAATAAACGCGCGCGCTCGACTTCATTAAACGATGAATGAACGTGCGATGCGAGTCCACACACAGACTGACAAAGGCACAAAAGACAAAGATCCCCCCCTCCGTATAGCCTCAGCAGACTGTCGGGGCAAGTGCTGTTAGCGAGCACCTATAACGGTCGGCACGTCACACGAGGGGGCGGGTGTAACAGCACCACGCCCGACCGCCGTTGTCTCCCGAGTGGCGATGTTTACACACCACACCAGGTACTTATTTTGGGCTGAGTCGACCTAGGGGAGGCCCATGACCTGTTCAGACAATTGTCACTGATGTTGGCCGTGAGCAAGAATCGAACGCGGGTCGCCAGGTTCATAGCGCAGCACAGCGCTAACTGCTACACTACCGCTCCCACCCACAGGCGTACACACAGACACACAAACACTCCCTCTATATTTCGATTTAAAGCTTTCGTGACTGCAGGGATTCATCTTCTTGGTTCTTTCGGTAAAGTCACGTAGAAGGAAAATAATAAAAATAAAACATAATAAAATAATTCTCACGACGTTTCGGCTACAACGCAAGCAGCCGTCTTCGGGTGGAGAACAGGTCTGTCGAGAAGGCAGAGTCTGCCTTTATTTTTCTTCTACGTGACTTTACCGAAAGAACCAAGAAGATGACTCCCTGTATAGCCTGAACACACTGCTGGGGCAAGTGCTGTTCGCGATCACCACGCGCGGCAAGAATCTAACTCGGGTGGCCGGGTTCGTAGCGCAGCGTAGCGCTAACAGCTCAGCACTACCGCTTCCCACAACAACAGTGCACACACACACAAACACACAGTCACAAACATCCCAACCCGCAACCACCCCCTCCCCCCCACCCTCAAATTGAATTCCTAACTCTATCCAGAAAATCACGTTCACGCTGCCTTTGTCGACAACGAAAGCGAATTCGACTCGGTGGAAATTGACGCAGGCAGCCACGCGCTCGCACACCCGGGGCTTAAATAAAATAAATAAAATAAATAAAATAATTATTTACGTGTGAACCACCCACGTCACCCCCCCCCCCCCATTTACAAGAGTGAGAGAGCCACGCTGCGATTGCCCACAGAGAGCGGCTGAACAAAAAGTCAGGCAAGGACAATAACCAATCACATACATCACTCCACTAAACTGCTTTACGGAACTATTAACTATTTATTTTTTATTTTACCAGGTAAGGCTGAGCTGTGTAGCTCGTTTATCAGAAGCGATCTGGCGATCACAAACGATAGCGCAACGAAGTGGCTTAAAGTCACGTGGACAGCAGGCAAACACTCCAAACGCCGTGGACGTGGATTGCAAATGCGGAGGGAAAACTCGGAGGACCCGGAGAAAAATCCACGCGAACGCGGGGAGAGAGAAAGAGACACCGCAAACTCCAAATATACAGCAGGCGTCAGGGTCGGGAGAAGATCCGAGGGCACTTTGTGAAATGTTCACCTCGTTTGGTCAACAGAGTTGGGAAACGGAAGGTTGGCGGTGCCACGTGTGCGCCCGTGTGTGTGCAAGTAATCTGTGTGTGTGTGTGCAGGTGTGTGTGTGTGTGTGCAGGTGTTTGTGTGTTTGTGTGTGTGTGTGCAGGTGTCTGTGTGTGTGTGCAGGTGTCTGTGTGTGTGTAGGTGTTTGTGTGTGTGCAGGTGTCTGTGTGTGTGTGTAGGTGTGTGTGTAGGTGTTTGTGTGTGTGTAGGTGTCTGTGTGTGTGTAGGTCTATGTGTGTGTGTGCAAGTGTCTGTGTGTGTGTGTGCAGGTTTCTGTATGTGTGCAGGTGTCTGTGTGTGTGTAGGTCTATGTGTGTGTGTGCAAGTGTCTGTGTGTGTGCAGGTTTCTGTGTGTGCGCCTTTGTAGTCTCAGCGGTTAGCGCGCGCCACGCTACGAACCCGGCGATCCGAGTTCGATTATCGCTCACGGCCAAGCCCAGTGACGATTATCTGAACCGGTCTTCGGCCTCCTCCCCTAAGTCGACTCAGCCTTAAATGAGTACCCGGTGCGGTGTGTAAACATCGCCACTGGGGAGACAAAGGCGGCTGGGTGTGTTGCTGGCCACCCACCCCCTCGTGTGCCGTGCCGGCCTTCAATAGGTGCTCGCTAACTGCACTTGCCCCAAGAGGCTGTTAAGGCTACACGAGGGATCTTTTTTTGAGCGAATTGAGTTTGTATAACCATCAGCGGGCCCTGACTCATTCTGCTCCCCCCCCCCCATCTCCTCCCAGCCGCCGATGAACATTTGCCAACGAGCGACAACCACAACGACCACATCAACCACGCAGCAAATCACAACAACCACAGCCAATCAGCGGCGAGAGTGAAGCTCACAAATCTCTGCCCCGTGCGCATTACCTTCCCCACCCCCACCGGGTCGCCAGGTGAACACTTCGAGTGGCGGTGGTGCCGGCAGCGCACTGCCACGCGGCCGACCCATCGGCGGCCACCCGACCGCACGCACAGATAAAGATCCCCCATAAAGCCTTAACAGACTGTAGGGGCAAGTGATGTTAGCGAACACACGCGCACACACGCACACGCACGCACGCACGCACACACGCACACACGCACGCACGCACCCACACACACGCACACACACGCAGACGCGCACACACGCACGCACGCACACACACACGCACAAACACGCACACACGCAGACGCGCACACTCACGCACACACGCACGCACACACACGCAGACGCGCACACACACACGCATACACACGCACACACGCACGCACGCAGACGCGCACACACACACGCACACACGCGCACACACACGCACACACGCACGCACACACACGCACACACTCCCGCACACACACACGCGCACACGCGCAGACGCGCACACACATACGCACACACGCGCACACGCGCACACACACGCACACACGCACGCACACAAATCACGCTGCGGGTTTAATCTCTCCTCCTCTGCGTGCGTGCCGCTCTGATTCCCACTCCACGCCGCACGTTTTCACGATCGCCGAGAGGAGCAAACTCATCCGCGTCTCTCGTTCGCGCGGAAAAATAAAATCGGCGCATCGAGCTGGTGCACGTGTCAGACACAGCACGAGATGCCCGCAACACGGCCGCGTGCTGTCGAGATGAGGGGCCGCTCGCCCGAAACGTCGACCCATTATGCCGTTATTGTCAGGGAAATAGGTCCCCACGCGAACACCGTTGGGGTAGTTCGGTTGCAGCACGCCAACTTGCTGCAGCAACCTCATAACGGGTTGTATGGGAATGTCGTTGCTGCAGCAGCAGCAACAGCAGCAACAGCAGCAACCGCAGCCATAGCAACAGCAGCAGCCGCAGCAGCCGCAGCAACAGCAGCAACTGCAGCCATAGCAACAGCAGCCGCAGCAGCCGCAGCCATAGCAACAGCAGCAGCCGAAGCAACAGCAGTCATAGCAACAGCAACAGCAGCAGCAACAGCAGCCATAGCAACAGCAGCAGCCGCAGCAGCAACAGCAGCAACCACAGCCATAGCAACAGCAACCGCAGCAGCCGCAGCAGCAACCGCAGCCATAGTAACAGCAGCAGCCGCAGCAGCCACAGCAGCAATTGCAGCCTTAGCAACAGCAGCAGCCGTAGCAGCAACAGCAGCAACCACAGCCATAGCAACAGCAACAGCAGCAGCCGCAGCAGCAACCGCAGTCATAGCAACAGCAACAGCAGGAGCAACCACAGCAGCAACCGCAGCCTTAGCAACAGCAGCAGCCGTAGCAGCAACAGCAGCAACCACAACCATAGCAACAGCAACAGCAGCAGCCGCAGCAGCAACCGCAGTCATAGCAACAGCAACAGCAGGAGCAACCACAGCAGCAACCGCAGCCGTAGCAACAGCAGCAGCCGCAGCAGCCACAGCAGCAACCGCAGCCTTAGCAACAGCAGCCGCAGCAGCAACAGCAGCAACCGCAGCCATAGCAACAGCAGCAACCGCAGTCATAGCAACAGCAGCAGCAACAGCAGCAGCAACAGCAGCAGCCGCAGCCTCAGCACTCGCCATCGGCCCCTTAGCTCATGAACTCGTTGTCGTACACAAAGCGGAGGACCTGGAGAGAGAGAGAAACAACAACAACAACATCCACGCGTGCCCCGGCACAGCCCACGACTTGTGGTGGTGCCGCCACCACCACGCAGGAACGTTTCGCAGAGACACAAACGCGCGGCGCGACATCCCCACTTGAAATTAAACGCACCTGGGTTTAATCCTCACCCAGCCCCCCCCCCCCCGACTACTCTGCCACTCGTCAAGGGGACGAGATGTGCAAAGCGTCGGCAGCGCAAACGATCGATGCCCCGTGGATTGCTTGAAGCCACCGGATTTGTCAAAGTCGAGAGAAGGAGAGATGAGAGGGCAGAGAGAGAGAGAGAATGTGATCGTCTATTAAACTGATGCAGCTGAAAAGATGTGCTCCCGGAAGGCTGCGCGACTGATGGCATGGATCAAAAAATGCATACTTCTATACTTTCAATTTTTTTTTACGTGGAAAGACGAACGTGGGACAGAGGCTTTCCGTCGGCGTATTTATTCTGACAAGGCAGGGTTAGAGAGATAGAGAGAGCACAGGGGTGGCACCATGATCACTTAGGTGGTCCTCGCAGGGCGAGGCTTATCCATTGCACTGCGGGTGGGTTGACCTATGCAATTTCCCCAACTGCGGGAAACTCGACTGTAAAATTTGTGGTACTGGGGGAATTTTTTTTATATACGAAAAAACAGAGAGAGAGCGAGAGAGAGCGATTGGGGAGGGGTCGGAGGGGGGAGAGTAGAGAGAGAGTGAGCGAGAGAGGGGGGTGGTTACATAAAGCAAAGCATAAAAAAAAATACGAAATTATGAACGAAGCAAAGTGCCGACTACACCGAGCATCTTCTTGTTTCCACTGATCGTAAAAAAAAGAGAGAGAGATGAGAGTAGAGAGGAGGGAGAGAGGCAGATGAAAGAGAGAGATAGAAAGAGATGAGAGGGTTCGGTTTTATCTCCCGGTGTGGCAGTGGAAGAATAACTCCCCCTGCAGAACGGTCAATTCGATCGGCAGGTCGCGTTCGGTGGGGTAAGGAGTGGTCACTCGCACATCTATCCACGAAAATCTGTCCAGCATGGGAAGAGTAGGCAAAATACATTCGAACAGGAGCTTTGTGCAACTCCTTCGAGTTAAGAACCCCATTGGCCAGCAGCGGGACGAGAAAGCAAGCGCAGGGCTGAACCTTTGCCTTTGTAAATCTAAAACAATTTAAATTAAACTATTTATTTTATTTTACCAGGTATGACCGACTGAGTTATGTAGCTCTTTTTCAAAGGCGACCTGGCCACAGATGACAGCTCAACTAAAGTGGCTTATCATCACGTGGACATTTCTAAATGTGGAGGTAAAAACCGGAGGACCCGGAGAAAAATCGCGACCACGGGGAGAACACGCAAACTCCAAATATACAGCAGCAGGCGTCAGGGTCGGGATCGAACCCACGACCTCCTGTATACCAGGCAATGTAGTTAACATCTCCTAGCCAACGTGATGATGATGATGAGAGAGAGAGACACGTAAACTACAAATATACAGCAGCAGGCGTCAGGATCGGGATCGAACCCACGACCTCCTGCACACCAGGCGAAGTATACAGGAGGCCGTGCAATGAACGAACCACAGAGTTCACAAAAATGACCCCAACAGAACAACAACAAAAAAACGCCACTAAGCGGAGCGATGAGACGGAGGGAGAAAGTGGCGAGACAGATGGAACGAGACGGACTCATCCCCAGCAACCCACTCGCTCGCTCCGTGCTCCGTGCTCCGTGCGAACGAGAGACAGCAGTAATCCTCGCGAGCCGTAAGAAAAAAAAACCGAACAAGCAGCTCACTGCCGCTGTTGACAGAAAGCATTTTTTTGTAAACGTTATTATATACTTTTTTTAAAAATGAAAAATGAAGACTTCAAAAACACAAAAGCCTCCACTGGGGTACGCCCAAGCGGTCGATTGAGTGAGCGAGCGAGCGAGAGAGTGAGAGGCAACGCGGCACTTTAACGGACATGGTAAAGAGAGGGGGGGCATAAGAGAGGCGATGGTCACGTAAAAGGCACACTAAGCAAGGATATATATTTTTTAAATGATGGACGTTAAGGACAGACAGACGGGAAAAAATCTAAGTGGGGAGAAAAATGTCACCTCTGCTTTCAGGAGAGACGTGACGAATCTTCGATGGATGGCTCTCAAGAGCATTTGTCATCGCGGCTATTAGGGAGACCGCTGGTGGGGGTTGGGGTGTGGGGGGGGTGAGTGCCGACTGCTCTCAGCTAGAACGCGGGGAGGGCGATCAGACACTGTTCATATCCGTGCAGCCGCTTCTGATCCCCCCCCCCCAAAAAAAACTAGTCAGTACTGATTTTATCGACCGCGCACAACGAAAGTGACGATGATGATGCAATTCGTAAATGGCCGTGGTTCTGAGACGTCGAGCCAGGCTGAAGCGTCGCTCGAAAGCTACGCAAAAAAAAGACACGTGGTGGCCTTTAAAGAAGAGCTGGGACCTTGGATAATGAGGTGGGGCCTTTAATAACGAGGTGGGAAATGTAATTACAAAGGTGGGGCCATCATTGACGACCGGACCGAGGCCACCAACTCACTGCAACTTCTTGTCTCAAAGGGTCGAACACGAGGAACCTTGAGAACATGTAACCAGTCACTCACTCACACGCTCACACGCCCCCACCGCGCGCACACCCACGCACAGAGACAAAGATCCCCCGTGTAGCCTTAACAAGACTGCTGGGGCAAGTGATCTTAGCAAGCAGCTATGAAGGTCGGCACGGCACACGAGGGGATCGGTGGCCAACACCACGCCCGGCCGCCTTTGTCTCCCCAGTGGCGATGTTTACACAACGCAACAGGTACTCATTTAGAGGCCGAGTAGACCTTAGAACAGGCCCAGGACCGGTTCGATTAATCGCCACCGATGTTTGGTGCAGGACGTGAGCCGGGGAATCGCTGTGCCACCACTCCCCTACACGCACACACGCACACGCACTCAAGCACACGCGCACACGCAAGCACACGCAAGCACATGCGCACACACACACGCATACACTCGCACGCACACACGCACACACGCGCACACACGCACACGCACGCACACACGCACACACGTGCACACACGCACACACACGCGCACACACACACGCACACGCGCACACACACACACGCATACACTCGCACGCACGCACGCACACACACGTATACACTCGCACGCACGCACGCACACGCACACGCACGCACACACACGCACAGAGATAAAGATCCCCCATATAGCCTTAACAGACTGTTGGGGCAAGTGCTGTTAGCGAGCACCTATGAAGGCCGGAACGGCACACGAGGGGGTGGGTGGCCAGCACCACGCCCGACCGCCTTTGTCTCCCTAGTGGCAATGTTTACACACCGCGCCAGGTACTCATTTGAGGCTGAGTCGACCTAGGGGAGGCCCGGGACCGGTTCAGATAATCGTCACTGGTGTTGGCCGTGAGCGGGAATCGAACCCGGGTCGCCGGGTTCATAGCGCATCGCGTTAACCGCC